CTGGGATTAAAGGTGTGCGCCACCACCGCCCGGATCAACTGTTTTTCTTAATCATGAACTTAAGCCACAGTCTATACGGCTCCTCAATAGAAATCACGTGTTCTAGCTGTGTGACTCTTCCTTGTTTTATTTTTATCCTCTGCGGCCTCTGCTTTATCAGAGGCAGGGGCAACATTTTGTCCTACCTTTACCTGTGTTAACTTTTCCACTAAACTGACCTCTATCATAATCCCTTACTATGTTTATTAAAAACCCTTAATCATCAAAATCTTATTTATTTATTTAATAGTTTAATGTATTTTAATAGCAAACTTACAGGAACAGCACAGAAGACAGACAACATTAAAAACATGTACTTGCATGTAGGACAACTCAGTTAGAAAAGTATAGTGAATGGATGGAATCTACTATATGATAAAAATGCTACGAACACCATTTAGTTGCCATCAATAAGAAATTTACTTATTTTAAAAAAATCCAAGTGCTGGCATTGTCCAGAAAATTTTTAACAGGTTTATTTATCATTGTTATAAAGTTGAACTGTTGAAATGTGTTCACTGAAACATTTTGCTTGCATTAATGCTTTACATCTTGCATTTATATTAAAAATTCACACACAAGCCGGGCGGTGGTGGCGCACGCCTTTAATCCCAGCGCTCGGGAGGCAGAGCCAGGCAAATCTCTGAGTTCGAGGCCAGCCTGGGCTACCAAGTGAGTCCCATGAAAGGCGCAAAGCTACACAGAGAAACCCTGTCTCGAAACCCCCGCCCCCCCCCAAAAAAAATAAAAATAATTCACACACAAATGAAAATGGAAAAACTGCCAATACCTGATTTCTGTCCCCTATTTTTTCACTCGCAATCATATACTTCGGTGCCTTTTGATCCCATGGAAAAAATATCTAACATTCAGAACTACTGATAACAGGAAGAAGAGGGAAAAAATGTTTGAGAATGAAATGTTTGCCCTCATAGTTGACTCTTAAGCACGTTCTCCACGTATGCGGCGTGCTAGCTGGATATCTTTTGGCATAATTGTTACACATTTGGCATGCATAGCACACAGGTTGGTATCTTCAAAAAGGCCAATCAGATAGGCCTCACTCGCCTCCTGCAAAGCACCAATAGCTGCACTCTGGAAGCGCAGATCTGTTTTGAAGTCTTGAGCAATTTCTCGCACCAGACGCTGGAAGGGGAGCTTACGAATCAGAAGTTCAGTGGACTTCTGATAACGTCTGATTTCACGGAGTGCCACAGTACTAGGCCTGTAACGGTCAGATCTCTTCACCCCTCCAGTAGAGGGCGCACTCTTGCGAGCGGCTTTAGTAGCCAGTTGTTTCCTGGGTGCTTTACCACTGGTGGATTTGCGGGCAGTCTGCTTTGTACGAGCCATGGTATGGGCACCTCCTTATTTACCCGCCTTCTCCTTCGGCTGGAGCTCTGCAAGCGAGAGTCAAAATCCTATTTAAACTAACACTATTATTGTATAAAATCATTGCTTCAGTTAAACAGAACAGCTTAGGAGGAAATCATCTTTATAATAATCCACAGGTAAAAATGCCCAGGAGAACGGGATATTTCCAAGAGATGATCACGCTGCATTAAGGACAGTGGGGATCTATCTCCCCACACCCATTCACACCATGCCAGATACTAGAGAAAATTGGCAGCGGCGGCAAACACGCAAAGACACAGCAGTAGCAAAAAACATTCTGGGGCCGAGGCTCTCGGGCTCTGCTTATCTGGGACTCACCCGTCAGGGTTTTGTTTCCTGGTGGATCGGTGCCCTGAAGTCGGTTGCCATCTGCTGCTCCTCTGACATGGCCACGGGCAGACCCACTTGGAGAGAAGTAACCCCTGCAAGTTGACCTTTGATAAGATTGAGTGTGGGGGGCACGCACTAAAAATTTTAAAGTCTGCACAATACAAGAGAAAGCAGATACACTGATCAAAATTAAGATGGGCTCCTCTCTGAAACCCATTTATGAGAAGATGAAAGCAAACAAACCACAGATGGAAATAAAACGGCCCCAGTGATGAATGAGTGACGTTTATGAGTCTTGTTATTGAAGGTCTCGGACAGAGGCCTGGCTTGAGATGTCAACAGCCCAGGCTCTGCTGTCTATTGTGAGAGTCCAACCCGAGATGCGGGTGATAGTGAAACAAGAAATAGTTCAGGGTGGT